TTAAAAATTATAGTCATCCCTTTGCAATTACCTTTTAAAACGTGACATAGTTTATTTGATGTTCTAAGAGCAGATGAAGAGCAATTTCTTCAGTGATTTGAATTAGTTCAGTTTAATGCATTGATAATGTACAATTTTTTGAAATCTTTTTAGTGATAAAATGAGGCCGTGATTAATTTTTAACACACCAAGCACACAGATCATAAGAAATAAGCATATATTCTCGCTCAATAGTATGTGAACACTTTTTGAATTCTTATGTCTTCCTGAAATTAAATCTTGTGTGATTTCGTTCGTACTGTGTTAGGGAACGTATTTTAATAAAAATTAACTAGATATCTTATGAATAATAATAATAAATAATTATATCATCATGGCCACTGTGTGCACGTATAATAGTAGACCGCGGGTATTTATGCAAAATAGAAATCGTAGTATATAAGTATATACTATATTATAACTGTGTATAATATAGTAAGTGTATCTTTTTATTAATAATTTTAATGAATTGAAAATTATACATTGACACGTTTCAATTCTTCTAATTTTCTCTTATTTTAAATTGCAACTATTCAACTTTGCAATAAATGCATAAAATGCACAATAAACATTGTTACCAGTTGTGTCATTATGGCAGTTACTTTTTGCATTACCTTAATTAGATATTGTTAGATCAAATAATGTATATATTTGCTAAAAGACTCAGCAATACATACCGTTTAATGTTAATCATATAAATTACTATTCACAAATATCATAAAAAGGCATTTTTTATTTGCCACATATGAGCCGTTTATTTTGAAAGTGGCATAAGTCACTTTGTTTTTAAGTCGAGATATTTAAGGGTTTGCGTTTTAACACGTTTAAAAATATGGATGCTAACTTTCGACAAGATTTACTTGTATTTGTTATCTCAGGATACTGATATTTTTCTCAGTATAAATAATTTCGTATAAACATTAAAAAATCACCACTTTTCATTACGGTAAAGTGACTTAAGCCACTTTCAAAGTAAATAGTTTAGAAAAATGACTGACACATATTAATTTTGTCCGACGTATTTTACTGAAGTGATGCTTTGAAAGGACAGTGATTTACTAAAATTGTTGAATAAATTACATATATGAGCCGTTTATTTTGAAAGTGGCATAAGTCACTTTTTTTTCTTTTTTAAATGAAAAGATACCGTTCAATTGTAATTAGTGTTACCATTAACTCGATTTTTTTGAAAAAGTGACTTATGCCACTTTCAAAATAAACGGCTCATATGTACAGTTTGGTGCGACAGTGTATATGATAACATCGTACATCAAGTTTTTACGGGATAATCGAAAAGAAATATTACTTTTACTGTGTCACTTGATGATATACAGGGTTCCCCGGAAAGAATCATCCGATTTAAAAAAATTTATATTTTAGAAAATTACACACAGAAAATTATAATTCAAACACGAATATAACGGGAAAATGTGTGAGTTTTTGTTTACAAGTGTTCAATATGACTTCCTTTCGTTACACGTATGATATCATTGCGATATGAAAGTTCTTGCCAAACACGGTGTAATGTATCTCTGGTAATTGTTTGTACAGTATCACAAATGCGTTTTTTCAGTTCATTTACGCTTGTAGGTAAAGGTGGTACAAAGACAAGATCCTTCACAAATCCCCAAAGGAAGAAGTCGCATGGGGTTAGGTCGGGTGATCTCGGAGGCCAACTGTGTAGAACCATATTATCGGATGAACTGCGACCAATCTAACGGTTTGGTAGTTCCGTGTTAAGAGAATTCCGAACCTCCAAGTGCCAATGGGGTAAAAAGTAAAACTCGCACATTTTCCCGTTATATTCGTGTTTGAATTATAATTTTCTGTGTGTAATTTTTTAAAATATGAATTTTTGAAATCGTATGATTCTTTCCGGGGAACCCTGTATTTCTGAACAGATTGAAAGAATAGTGAAAGCTCTTTGCTTTAAAATGTGTACAGTCAATTTTGTTTCTTATTGGGTGCCTAAAGTGACAAGCACCTGTTTAAGTTATATTAGTTATATTAAATTATTATTCACAGTAAGCGGTATATACTAATGTCATTAAAACAATTTAGGAATTTCTTACAGGTATTTCTTTCTTTTAATGTATTTAAGGCAGAGGAACACATAGAAGAAACTCATGAGTTCTAACGCATCTGTTTCAAGAAACTTGCAAGGGTTTTTTCTTACTTAAATTGACGCTTTTCAATATCGAAATGAGCAATTCGGGAGTGGTCAATTTTGTTTTCCAAAAGTCCAATCTAGAACTGTTCGGTCTCCAAAATGACAATTTTTATATTATCGAGGAATAATTTATAATATTCCGCAGCATATCGCCTGTCACGAGACTTCTGACGCAAGTGTGACGTCGCAATATGGTCGCTGCTGACAGATTTTCTTACATATGGTAAGATTTATTGTACTTATAAAAAGAAATAAAACCGAACAGTTCTAACCAAAACGTGTGCAGAGGAGATGGTGTGTATTTTTAGTTGACTGCATACTCATTTAAGACGAAAAACAATATGTCCCAAAACATCGACTCGAGCTTCCGACATTTGTCACTGTTAGTGCTACTGTTACCTTTCTCGGTCAACATTTCATATATTCTTTTTTACGGATACATCGCGTATGATATAGCTCGTCACAGAAAATTATACTTAAACCACCAATCGGTCGAAAATCTTATCAATTAGGTTCTTCTAGTGATCGATCGGACTGCAACGCGACGATAAATTTCGTCAAGGCCATACCCAGATTCCCATCCTCAACGAATTCGGCAATTCAGGTCTGCCCTAAAACTATACAACCTCTGCTTGTATTTTAAAACATACCTATGCCGGGGTAAGTTCCACGACGTCACCATCAAAGTCGTTCCCTTTCGATGCTATAACTTTCTTTCAGCGGTCGATCCACTTCTCGAAGCAGTCCTGAAAGTCCTTTCCTTTTATGACTAGCAGCTGCTGCGTCACATTTCATTTTATTGCTCCGACGTCGTCGAATCTTCGGCCTTCCGACGGTTTGAACAGTTTTCGGAATAACCAAAAATCACAAGGTATTAAGGGTCCGGGTCGCCTCACACTATGACGAGCCACTACAACACATTTTATTAGGTACTACTGGGCTTCGGTTGTGAATTTTCGATTCGAGCTCTATATCTCTCGATATTTACGAAAAACTGTTAGCGGCGGCCATCTTGTGACGTCATGCTCGTGAGATTGACACCACTCTGGCCGAATATTGCAAATATCTCCGCAATAACTGCAAAACGGATATTTCTACAACCGAAGCCCAGTCGTTTAGTCTTTCCGGAATCTAAATTTTCCACTTGTGAACTGCATACTTCGATATTAAAGCGTCAGTTTTGGTCGATAGAAACTTCTAAAACTAATATACGTATATGGTTTTCTTGTATGTATGGCTCGTCATAGTGTGCGGCGACCCGGGCCCTTAAGTCCGGACTGTACAGGGACTGCCGAAGCTGAAGAATGCCATGATTTGACTCCGAACAGGTGTGACCTAGCCCTGTCATTGTGTAATGCGACATTCGGGGAATTCGACGTTCACGAAACTTCGTATTGCTGTCGACTGAACAGTTTTAGGTTTCCGTTAATCGGTAAGGGCACTCCTAAAGGACCCCGCTAAGTGCTCCATACCTGCTTTTTACGATTGGAAACTTAACCTCTTAGGTACTATGCGCCACTACAGTGGCTTTCGCGGATGCCATCTTTCTGTACGACGCGCCACTATACTCTGCCGTAGAGAGAAACAGCTCCGCGCAAAATTCAGCCGTGCCTTGGAGGTTAACACGTTCCGTGCCACGTGTACCATCGATGGTACACGCTTGCATGTTTACTTAGTGAACTGAACAAATTGTTTACAAGAAATTTAGAACCGAAGAATCAATTTCCACCGCAAGAATGGGCGTTGATAAGTTTTTGTTCCGTTGTTATGTGTACGAGAATTAATAATTGCACGTAATACATCAAGTTTTAGTATAATATAAAAGTGTGAAGATTCGAGTAAAAAAAGCTTGGCACGGAACGTGTTAAGGGTAAAATCATGTGCAGAGGTCGGATACTTCCGGCACAGACCTCGTACATTCCTTCATGTTTCGGGCATGTCAACAAAATACAGGATGTCCCAAAATCATGGTATTTCTGAGAAATGGAGGGTTCCTCAGGTTCTTTGAAGTAACTTTTTCCTTAGCGAATGTGCAATCCGTGGCTTCGTTTATGAGTTATTAACAAAAAACGCTGACCAATGCGAGGCGAGCTCGGCTGGCGCAAGGCGACCGAGCTAACGAGCGGACGATGCCCAGTTCCGTTCATTGGCTCGGCTGCCTCGCGTCAACTGATCTCGCCTCTCATTGGTCACTGTTTTCCGTTAATAACTCGTTAACGACGTTTCGGATTGCATTTTCGCTAAGGAAGAAGTTATTTCAAACGTATTACATCCTCTATAATTAGTTATAACCGCCGCGATGAATTCAATGAACTACACTATAACCGTAACTTTGTCATAACGGCAAAATAAGTTTGGACACGATAAACCGGCCATGAGCCCACTGTGCATCGGTAAAAGTAGGACGTAATAAACCGATCTAGCGTCTTTTCATGAAAAGCCGGAGCATCGACGATCCTTAAGTTCTTCGACGTCGCGCGGCAGTGTCGAAACATTAGCAGCGCTGCATTTAGTAACCAGCGAGTTTGGGAGCTCCACTGGCCGGTCAGTCGAGCGTTAATATCGCCGTCTCCTGTGCTGAATGATTAGCCAGAAGCGGTGACAGTTTCATTCGCATAACTCGGTACCGGTTCCACTCGGTTGGCCAAGAATACCCGTGGTCCGACGAACGAACGGTCAGTCCATCGCGAAATTAGTTTTACAATGGCCGCGGCGCCATCAATCAAACAGCGACGCGACGTGTCCTCCATCGATTTTCCACTAATTAGACTAAACCTCGTGTACATGACAGGTGGACGTCTCGACCCAGGTGGATGTGCATGGCGGTTTCGGCGCATCCGGCGGCAGCATTAGCATCGACTGGGATCGGCGCGCGACACCGCTCTACTCCCGCGAGGACATCAAAGAGCAGTACTGCATAACTAGCCGGCAATTGGACGCTGTCGAGAAATCTGAGGGCGGTTTCTTCGGTTGCCTGTCGACGAAAGGACCCTCGCCGTGCACCTCTGCCCGCACCTCGATCCTTTCCGCGTGTGTAAGAAGCGTCCCCAGCGACGAGAACCTCTGTGACGCGCCCTACCCTCGCCGGCCCTACCAGATCATGTACCGTCAGCCTCACCCGACCTATCCGAGGGGTCTCTACCGTTACGACTTTGAGGATGAAGCCGACTGGATCAAGAGTTCCTACTTCCGGCGCCGACCCAGATCTTTCTGCACCGTACCCGATCCGAAGAGGTGAGTTCTAATTTTAGGGTTTCGGGGGAAACGATCCGTCGCGCCGCATGGTGCGATATTTCGATTATCTAGGGGGACTTAATTGTCAATGACTATATTTTATGTCTTGCTTTTTTTCATCATGTATTCATAGTTGTCGGCATCTCCTGACAAACAAACAAACAAACACACACACACACACACACACACAGAGAGAGAGAGAGAGAGAGAGAGAGAGAGAGAGAACGAAAATCAGGGCAGTCGGCAAACTTAAAAGACAACGATTAGTGTATAGTAAATTCTCCTTAATTGATCCTCACCTTATACACGAAAATGGACAATTTGGGAAGAGGAGATACAATTATCCGATCGTCAACAACTATAAAAACGAGCCGCGATACTCGAATAATTGTTTCTCCTCTTTCCAAACTGTCCATTTTTATTTACAAACTGAGAGACAATTGAAGAGAATTTACTGTAATGCTAGAATAAAAACGATGCCTCAACTTTTGTATTTCTAATTTTGTATACGTGAAAAATTGTTTTAACATATTGATCGGATTCTTCCAATTAAAATGAGGCCAAACACGACATGCTTCAGATCATATTTGTTCAATTACATCATGATTGATTTTATTTCATATAATCAGAAATGTCTGTCTAAACTATGTCATGTTTGGCCCCATTTTAATCAGAAAACTATCAGCAATATGTTAAACGAAATTCAGTTTTAAAATATTAAAGTTAAAACGTTTCCGGGAGTTCTAGTCAAAAGCGTAGTAATAGCATGGGGACAGTGTAAGCAAGCCTCTAGCATGGACTATTAGGGAGAATTTACTATACCTATTATCCCTGGCAATAAGTACTTGGCCAGAAGCTATAATAACGAATTAATTTAAGAAAACATGATTATTTTCAGCTCAAATGCTAAACGTAGGTCTGGAAACTCGTCGTTTTCGAAATAAGTACTTTTTGTTTGCGAGATTAGATTTCAAAGAATTGTAACTTACTTAAAAAATTTGTTGAAGTAAAAGAAAATATGAGCGAAGTAATGGAATGACAAAATTTAACGTGGCTTGTTCGATAAACAGAAAGTTTATTACGCCACAAAACAAACCAAAGGCACAGCAATTGGTCACCCCACATTAATCGACTCCACTACCCTATTTGAAACTGTAACACATAGCATGATACGTAAAAAATTTGTAGCTTCCCTTCGACGATATTTTTATCACATTTTAGAGGAGAATATATGCTGTATTTAATACGATAAATAAAATTAATGTAACTACAGTGACTCGCATTAATATTCGGACACGATATTGTTAGAAGAATTATTGCTGCTTTTTATTGTTTATGATAGTATTATTGAATCAATTGTTTCCTCATACAATGAAGCACTTCTTAAAATAAGTAGAAATATAAATTGTGATTATTTATTGCACATGTTCTTTTGTATAAAAAACGATAAACAAGATTGTGACAAAATTTAACGTCGCAAAAATATTCGGACAGTGAATGAATTACATTAATTGTATACAAAATGAAAATCTTTTTAATCATGTTATCATAATATTAATATTTTGTCGATTGAACCTTTTTTTTATTACTTTATGTAATCGTTTGGGCATGTTACAGATGATTTTATTTAAATAATCCGGCGAAATTCGTTTCCATTAGTCCAGCAAACGTTGTTTTATCTTTGTTGTTGTCCTTATAGCTGTTGTACGAATTTTGTGGTCCAATTGATCTCATAAATTTTCAATTGGATTTAAATCAGGCGATTGAGGAGGAGGTGTTTAGGATCATTGTCCTGATAAAGCTTAAAACTGTACGTTTACCAATATTTATACCACTTGTAATTAAATTTTCTTTTAAAAATGTCCAAATACTTCATTTTGTGTCCATAATACCATCGATAAAAACTAGTTCACCTACACCTACGGACGAGATATAACCCCACACTATTACACTCCTACCATCGTGTTTCACTGACGGTCTTAAATTTGCAAAAGAATATTTTTACAAAGACAACTGATGGTAGAATGATGTAATATTTTCTGATGAAAGCAAATTTAATCTTTACGAATCCGACAGTCAAAAAATGGTGTGGCGTAAAGTAAATACAGAATTAAACATTCCAAATTTTAAGACCGACAGTGAAATACGGTGGTAGGAGTGTAATAGTGTGGGTTTATATCTCGTCCGTAGGTATAGGTGAACTAGTTTTTTTATCGATGGTGTATTATGGACAAAATGAAGTATTTGGACATTTTTTAAATGAAAATTTAATTACAAGTGCTATAAATATAGGTATACGTAAAGTTTTAAGTTTTATCAGGACAATGATCCTAAACACAAGGTCAGAATTGTACAAGAATGTTTATTATACAATTGTCCAAAAGTACTGCATCCTCCTCCTCAATCGCCTGATTTAAATCCAATTGAAAATTTATGAGATCAATTAGACCGCAAAATTCGTACAACACCTATAAAGACAACCACAAAGATAAAACAACGTTTGTTAGACGAATGGAAACGGATTTCGCCGGATTATTTAAATAAAATCATCTGTAACATGCCCAAACGATTACATGAACTAATAAAACAAAAGGGTCAACCGACAAAATATTAATATTATGATAACATGATTAAAAAGATTTTCATTTTATATAAAATTAATGTAATTCATTCACTGTCCGAATATTTTTGCGGCGATAAATTTTGTCACAATCTTGTTTATCGCTTATTATACAAAAGAACATGTGCAATAAATAAACACAATTTATGTTTCTACTTACTTTAAGAAGTGCTTCATTATATGAGAAAACAATTGATTCAATAATACTATCATAAACAATAAAAAGGAGCAATAATTCTTCTAACAATATCGTGTCCGATGATTAATGCGAGTCACTGTATGTAAGCCAGTGACGCTGGTAGCGAATGTGTTAAAAATAATACCCATGCTGCATCACTGAGATATTGCTCTCAAATTAGGTGTAACTTGGATAGTTTCTAAAAACATTCAATTACGGAATGAAATCCTCCTAGGTTGTCGAAATATCACACAGTGCGCCGCTCAGAACCGCTCAGGGTTGCTCGGAGCAGTGCCACGCTGCGCTTTCGATGGCTATTCAGAGGGTAAGATGAACGAACCATGAGACTAGAGCGCTACAAGATTGAAAGCACCCTTTGTTCGAAGGTCGGTGATCTCGTGGTTCACGAAATGTAACAATGCAATTCGCCTGCTAATCCTGTTCCGAGTCAAGTACGGCGAGACCTCTGTTGTACGAGCTTATGGAGGGGGGAGGGGAGGGGAGAGAAAAAAGTGTTTAAGTAAAAGATTTTTGATATGGTAGAACAACCAGCTGAAGTGGTGTAGGTAAGAATAAATAATAGTCTTTTGTACACAAAAGAGTCTTTTATGCAAAAGTCTTTTGTATGTAATTGTTGGCACAGGTATACAGTGTGTCTCACTTAAGTGTGACGCTCCTAGTATCTTCTTTAATTTGGAGAAAGTAACAAATTTTCCGTGTGTAATTTGAATGGCATCACGTGGTCAATAAGACACGGGGGTTGTTTTCTTTAAATGTTATTTCTTTTCGTAGTTCTAAAGGACATCGATGTTGTTTTTTACATAACTACAAATATATTTTCGTAATATACAGGCGTTTCCTTAACTATTGCCCACATTTTTTCGTGCACTTTTGTTAACCTGACCAAAAAATGTTTAATCGGTTCCCTGTTTGCTATACGACAAAACATTTAATTTTCAAAAGTTTTATCAATATAAAATCGGGGTCACCTTAATCTTTTTAAATGACATTGCACATTTAACAATGACCTGCTATAGCATAACCTTCGAGTGACCTTGAACCGAGAAATATCAGTTCAATCGGCAGAAATGATTGAAAATGAAAATTTCTTTATTTTAAGATACATCAATCAGCAAATCGGTAATTTTATTACGAGAAAGTATCATTACGTAAATTTAAAGAAAACACAGCTATTAGGTCGGCTATGACCTAATTATTTTATTCCAAAAGTGTTATTATTACAATATTTCCCACAATATCTGCATTATTCTTACAAACGAAATTTAAGCTTGGTCTTCATCTTCGTAGTTCAAGATCATTTGAAAGTCATATTACAGCACATATTTGAATGCTGCGTGATGCTACATGAAAATATATGTACTTAATAAAAAAAACACACACTATGGGATAGTGACCACGTGATACTATTCAAATTACACATAAAATATCTTTTTTCTTCCTGAAAATTAAAAAAGATAATAGGAGAGTTACACTTAAGTCAGGCATCCTATTTAAAAAAGAAGATATTAATTGACGAATTTGTAACGTATTTTTAAAAGTTTTAAACGTGTCGACATTTTTAAAAATGGAATTACGTATTTGTATCATCATGACGTAATACAATCGATAGCAAAAAGAAAAACAGCTGAAAAATTGTAAATTTTTGAGCAGCTATGACTCCGTTAAAAATTATCATAAAATCATGACTATTTTTTTTAATTACAGCGTGAAGTCGCTACTTCATGATTACGTATTCTAATTTTTAATATAATGCATCCCCACGACCGCAGTGTCCTAAATCTGTGGGCATGTTCGTGATACCAAAGAAGTGTAAAGTTTAACATCCTCTATGGAGTTGCAAAAATTTTTGTCGAGCGTAGCGTTCACAAAGCTTGGTCCTTTCCCTTTAATTTTACGAATATAAAATTAACCTACAATAAAACGTAAAAACTAAATCTTACGTTTATGAAACATAGAAAACTGAGGGTACAATGGCTCCATATAGACTTCATGAAAAGTGAGGTTAGAAAATCAGTTTTGTTTGCTAAACTATTCAAGATATGCAATAAAATCACACAATGTGGACGATTATTTTTAGTATATTTGTTAATACGAGATTACTTGTTTAACTAAAATAGTGCAACTGATTTTAAAAGTTTGATAGTATATTACAAAATATTAAAAATTGTTGTTGATTCTCCT